TGTTTGCTTGATTCACTGTGGATTTTTCCCTTATCAGGTGAATAGTTTGACCATTTGATTTCATTGTTGGTTTCTTTCCAGATGCCAGAAGTACTGAGTATTTAAATATATATCTGAACTTCAGCAGGAAATTGAAAATTGATTCTCTACAGCAGTTATCTGAGATATGGTTTGAGTTCTTGCTTCAAGTTAGCTAGAGCAAAGAGCTGAAGCAGTCTCAGGGGGATGCCAGCTTGACAGATATTCTGGAGCGCTTTCTGTGGCATCTTTGAAGAGAAATTCAGAAACGATGCATTTGTTTAAACAAGTCTGCTGTTTGCTGTTGGCTTTACTAAAGCAGCACAGAGGGTAAGAAGAGAACAAAAATAATTTTGAATTACTTGGTTAATATGCAGGCACCTTTTAGTGGAGACATAAATGAAGAACTGTCAATATGGTGATGACCAGATTCTGACCCCATATCATTTTCTTTAGCTGTGCAGCTGCATGGCCACAAGCTGTAGTCACAGCTCAGCTTTCTGCTGATGCTGGAACTTACAGATGCAGAAATAAAGGAGGTGGCTTCTGCCCAAATTATTAACCCATAGATTGCAGTAGAACCCAGCAGGTTGGACAGGCCAAAAAGGAGGACACACGATGCCAGAGCATTGCTGGAGCTGGATATCCAGAGAGGCAGATGTCTAGTGCATGGATGGCTGACACATACACTGCTAGCTGGTGTTGAAGACCTGTTGCTCAGATTCTACTGCGAAGCCGAGTTTAATCTCCTTTAGTGTTCCAAACAGTTCCCATGGCTGCTGAGTACAGCTGAAGCAGAGGAGTGCACTCCAGTAGAGCTAAGTGCTTCCTATAAAGGTAAGTGGCATGACATAAAGTCATACTTTTACTAATGCTTCTATGAATTTGATATACTAACAGAGATGTATAGACTCAAAATGGTAACCTTTGTCATTCTGAGTCATATATAAATAAATGGTTGAAACAGCAATTCCATGCAGAGATTAGTGCTGTTTTTCTCAGCAAAATCAATGAAACTAATATTGAGTAAAATGTTTGCAAGAATATAAAAGTGGCTTAGACACTTTTCTGCCTAAGCTTAAACTTGCTTTAGCAGCACCTCCAGTGGTAGCCTATTAAATGCTACTTGGACTCCAGAAACCGTGATATGTGAGAGAGCTCAAACACCTGGCAGGAAACTGAGTGCAATAATGATTCAGTGTTACAGGACAGTGTTAGTTCAATACAGATTGATTTGGTTCTGTAACTTTTTGTTCAAAATGCATTTCTCACAAATGGGTCTGGAGTGTTCAAACTTCCTAAATCATAATTCCACCAAAATTCTGGAATAAATAAATTACCCTCAAAACCATACTGGAATTAGAAATAAATCAGCAGATTCTCTCTTCAGCAGCAGCAATAAATCCTTCCTCTATCATAGCATACACTGTTTACATTTGCCTAGGGGCTCTAAAACATTATGAGATGAAATAATTTTCCTGTTCCTTGGTGTCTGTCTGCCATAGAATTTAAGTGTTTCATGAATTTAATTGTGAAGAGAACAGTTTAACATTTTTCAGCCCCCTGTGGAGAAATGGAAGGAGGAGCCAAGTGGATATTACACTGCCTGGAAAATGATTCATATTTAAAATTAAGCTATGATGACTGTATCAGGTAAGATTGAGAAGGCCAGCAAATGACCCCATGTCCATTAATGCAAACTGTCAAAAGAAGGATTTGATATCATAAGTAGGGCCTAGCCTTCTGCTTGTGATAGAATTTTATTCCAGATTGCATAAATATCTGTATTTATGAAACATTAAGCCAATTTTCAGCATTTTCCTGAAAATCTATTAGTTGCTTTCAGGCTCTCTGAAAGATACTATATTTCATTGCATGAGAATTCATCTGTCATACTTTGAAGAGAGTGTTTATATCTCTAGCAACTAAGAGCATGTAAAAAGGCAGTTGCAACCTTTAGCTGGAGCAGAGATAGAAGAAACAAAAACTACTACCTTTCCTTAAATGTAAAAAGAATTCTCTTTTTCAATGGAAAAGATTTTCCTGGCTTACCTTGGTTACTGAAATGCAGGAAAACACATAACTTAAGTCTACCAAACCATTTTTGTACTATTTAGGGAAAGAGAGGATTGCTGTATAAGCTGGAAAAAAAGCAAAACTAATAGTTTGTGCCTCCTTTAAACATACATCCCATTATACTTTCGTTTTCCAATCCGTATTTTATTTTCTTGGTCCTCCTTTATGCGCTTTCATGCTTGGCAAGCAATATGGGAAGGCTTTCTGTGCCATTGTGTATGCTCTTATTCTGACTTCTCTGCCTGGTGCACAGAAGTCAGGGTGTGACATGAACAACAATTTGATGTACAGCCCCTAGAATGCCAAAAGAGTCTAGTATTTTATTCAGAAACAAATGACAACAAAATCTTTGAGAACCTGAGAAGAAGGTGGGGTGGTAAAAGGGATGTGTGGGAGAAGAGGAATGTAAAAAAAGGATCAAAGCAGATACATTTCAGTTGGCATGTGATAACATATTCCTCAGTTTCCTAGAATGAAATTTGTACCTTCCAATATATTTCACTGATGGATCCTGCACAGCAAACTTCACCTAAATTATCCCTTATAAATTTGGTTTCTAACCAAAAATAAATAGAATTAAATATCATCTTATAAATTTTGCTAATGTGCTTGCTAGTGAAGCAAAATCAGCAGTAAGAAAAAGCGTACTGCTGACAGTTTCAGTGAAGAACAGAATCAGTCAAGTATAATGTTCATCATTCCTTATTTACTATGATAATTAGAACCCGACATTCCGCACTGTGATGTGCATGGCTTGCGTTGTACAAGATGTTACACACATTATTTATCTGGGAGTTGTCTTTTTCCCCTGCCACCAACTTAATACACTTGCTTTTAGCATACATGCATGGAAAATGAGTGCTTCAGAAGTTCCTGATGGGCCCAGCACCTCTCTAGGTGCATAGCAGGTGACACACAAACAAATGAATCTGCTTCCAGGGACACCACTGTGTGAAGCATTGCTCTGGCTCATTAAAGCAAACGCCAGGATGTGCAGTCAATTGCTGTTCTTTATCACTGAAAATTAGCAGTGGTGTGAATGGGTCTCTTGAACTTCTTAACTACAGTCAGGGTTAAGAATGACAGAGTCTGAGCCTTGGGAATTGGAAGAAATGAAAGAGTAAACCTGACAACAGAACAGACTGGAGACTGGATCCTGCATCTCTCTTAGGGTGGAACTGTGCATTAGCAGATGGCAGCCTAAAAACAATATGTGCTGAGAGAGCTCAGGATGTATGGCAAGATTTTCAACACCTACGCGAGCATTCAAAGGAATATTGTCTGTCAGGGATGATGTAGGAATTTACAAGTTGCTTTTGTGTGTGGATTTCTGGAGCTATTATCTACATATGATCAGCTTGCAGATGTTGGAGGCAAGTTCAAGGCAAATTTTTGCAAAATGGAATACAAGAGTGTGTCACAATATTAATCCATATGTTTTGATGTGAGCATATAAACACATGTAAAACAGACCAGACCCTTGTTATGGGTAGATCGTGCAGCTAGGTTGCTTGTGAGAGGCAGTAGAAAATTGCAACTGAAGAGCAAATCATGATCTTGCCATCTGCCTGGAAGGAATTATTATATAGGGTTTGCTGTCAATCAGCCAACCTGTTCTGAAGCAAAGGCAGAACAGTATATGATTTTTTTTTCTCCATGCTCATTTCATGCACTAATTCCTTGCTCAGAAACAAACCATTTCCAGCACTAGTACTGCACAGGGGGCTCTGGCTGAAGCCCAGCCCTGCAAACAAGTAGGTGAGGTGCGGAAGAGAGTGCCTGAAGTGTTATTCTTAAACAGTGACAAAGCCCATATCTGTGACAAGGAATTAAATCTTAAAATGTTACATTGGTTAAAGTGATGGCATCAGGGCAGTACTGGCTGTTGTGCATCACATGGTTATGACAATTCTCATTTCTTTTGTGTGTTTCAGTGGGAGAAATTTCCCTAATCTCTTGTTTCCACCAAACGTGCCTTTTGTGCTGCTTTCTAATTTTTTGGGGTTGGTGGTTTTGGTTCTGTTTTTATGAGCATGGCTGAAGTCAGAAATTGTCTGCTTTATCTTTTCAAAGATTTTCCTACAAACTCTAGGATCTAGAGCACAGTATTTGTGTTCCATCCGTAACCAAGTGTTCCCTATGTAGCACCTCTAACCTGAGTATCTCCAAGCATGCTAAAATGGGTGTGTTGAGGCCACTCTGTGCCCCTGCAGAAACCAGGACATTTTAGAAGTAATATACTTAAATATAATTTAAGACCATATAATGATTCCATTAGAGGAGTTCACACTGCAGGGGGTAAGTAACAAAGAAACCTCTCGATTTGTTAATGTTTTTTTCCACCACTGGCTTGCTTTCTGATAAAGTGGAAGTAAATACATAGGTTTGCAAATAAGCTATTTGGTCAATCCCATGGTGTAATATAACAGCTGAGATTTCCTCTGCAGCTGAGGCCAATGCAGAGTTAGTAGACTTCAAAGTGTTATTTTCAGGGTAGCACCTGGAGTTATAAAGACCAGAAGTGCAGCACAGCAGAGCTGAATTGGCTCCTTGCATTTGCTTTTTGCAGAGGTACCAGCCAAAGCTTTCATTCTAAAAGAAGATGTTTCTGAGCACAGGGTGTGTTGTGCCAGGATGTGTATTTGATGTGTACTGGAGCACCCAGACATTTCACAGCCAAGAGGAGTATTAAGTTCAGAGCTCAGCTCCATGCTTCCCTAGCACACAGCACGTGCATCCTGGCATGTTTCCCAAATCAGCCTGATTGTGCCTTGTCACTGGGATTTACTCTAACCAAGACACGCTTTGCACGTGATAGTTTTTTGAGGTGTGCTGGATTGTGAACACATAAAAGGCTCAGGTGGGTTGAGTTTATAGAAGTTTCCAACGTGGTGAAGGAGGTGAGAGGTTGGGTTTTGGTGGTGTTTGTTCCAGAAGTGGAGTATGCAGCTGAAAATATAGAAAGATGTTTCTGAGTTAGGGGAAGCCAGAAACAGGAGCTAAACCTGACTGTGAGCTCACATTATTGTTTAAGGTAGGTGGTTTGGAACTAGACTTTTTGTGTTAGAGAAGTGGATTCATGGTGTGTTGGGGAGGTTCTTTCCTTTCATGGTGATGTGAGGGATCGCGGGTAGCCAGGAAAGGGCTGGTGTATTTCTGAGCTTTGCTCTTTGTGGTAACGTTTTTGCTATGATTTCTGTGTCCTTTTCCTACTATTTTCTGTATGTAAGGAGGAGGTGGGAAGTTGGTTGGGTTGGGGGAGAGTCTGCCACAGTGGAGCTGGGAAGGAGATGCAGTATCAAGATGGGGGTGACTTGCTGCAGTGCTATAGGGAGGAATTTGTTTCTTTAGATAGCTCTGTTTCTATGATGATGTCTGAAATATGCCAACTTAGAAGGAATTTACTTTAGTTGCTGCTGAAGCCTCCTTTTTTTATTACCTGTGGATAATGGAGCTCTATTGTTTGTTAAGTTTAACTGAAAGATAAGAACATAGCAAGCCTAGAGGGAGTGAAAACAGCCCAGCAACCATGTCTGAACTCACCATAGTGAATTTGCTTCCCAGAGTGTCTCAGTTATTTTGCTTCTGTCGGATTTGTTTTATTTATGTTGTGACTACTGCAAACCCTTGTACTTTTGTGTCAAAATTGACTTTTAGCAGAGGAAGTAAATGCTGAAGCTATGCTTGAGGACTGATACACTGCAACTGCTAAATTAAATACCCAGTGTCCTGTCTGACTGTAGAAGTACTGGTTTTCAGTTCATGCAGCTTTGGCTCATGATTTGTCTCCTGTAGGTGGGTCTTGGTGTGTAATGTGGTTTTAGCTTGTTTGGAAAGGCAACTACAAACTGATGGTAGTAATAGTCTGTTCTGAAACTAGGAGTATTTCAGTAGTATTTAAAGTAATGGGTGCAACTATACTAACATGAGAATGCCTGGGCTGAAGGTTTTTGAGCTTGTGCTAAATAGAAGTATCAATGCTAAGAGTCTGGATTTTCAGATCAGGATGATCTCTCCAACTAGCATATATCTGATAAAGGCTAGCAATATTGCTACTTGACAAGAACACCATGGTTCTTTAAAGCTTGATTGCTTTGCTTTTTGGTATCTCTGAATTGAAACTAAACAACTTGTCTCCATGATGTGAAGGTTATGGTTTATGTTTATATTTTGAATACATCGATTGCTATTGAAGCTTTGTTGCATGATAACAATGTACTGCACAGATAATTTGGTTAATCCTTAGCAAGTACTGATCTTGTTGGCTAATGGCAAGTTACAGATAAGGGTTGAGATTTTTTCTGTGCGTTGTCCTACATACTTTAAAAATAACTGGGACAAACTTTCTGATATAAACTTGCTTGACAAATATAGATGTGTTCTTCCCCCCTCTCTCTTTTCTCTCCTCTCAGGCATGGGAAAACTGCAAGAAGCAGAATCATTGCCTCCCAAACACAGTAATTGTGGAGACCAGACATCCCTTTAACAAACAATAGCACCATCTTTAAGGTAGGCTGGGAAAAAGACCTGTGAAAACCTTTCCTTTTGTGCTCTGTTCTCACTTTTCCCTGCTTTTGTCAATATGCAGACTTGTTATATTTAAATTAAATGTTATATTTAAATAACAAGTCTGCATATTGACAAAAGCAAGGGGAAGGTTTCACTGGTTTTCAGTATATGAGCTACTTACAGAGCTATTGTGGTTTGTTTTGTTCTTGTTGGCTTTTCTAATGGCTGTGTCCATGCAATCATCTTGCTGGTTGGATCTTCCCTGTATGTTCTGGGGTGGTGGATGGCTGGCAAAACCTGCCAAGCAAGGCTGGGGCGGTAGCAGGGAGAGAGATATTGTGGTGATGTGGCACCGGATAATAAGGTGGGAAGGAGCCATCAGATTTAGCAAGCAGAGCTTCTCCACTGAGGTGTGTTGTGCTGTTCCCTGATGTTGCTGTATCCTTGGCTGGTCCTCCAATACCTCTATAGCTGCACTATGCTGGAAATGGAGCAAATTTCCCAGGATCCTGTATTTTGAACTGGGACAAAAAAACCGTATGAGCCAGTCCCTGGCCTCCCATGGGACATAATTTCCCTGCACATGTTGTTCAGCTCTGCTTCTTCAGGCTTTTGGTGTGTGCAGAATTTGTGTTTGGCCGGCAGCGGCTGTGGTCACAGGCAGACAAATCACCAAGTGTTTCTTTGAAGTGTTTCCTTCATGAAAAAATGATGCAGCCTTCTAGCTGAGCTTTTCATGGTCAGCGTGGTTGCCTCTAGACAAATCAGTGCATCTTGTTTCGCCACTGGGAAAGCTAAAGGAGAAGAAAGCTTGACAATACAGACTACAGGATTTAATGCTGTTAGAGAAGATGTAAGAAGGAAAAGAAATGGGCTCAGTTCAGTCACTGAGATTGGACCAGGTCTCCTTCAAGAGGTGAAGAAAAGTGGTGGGTGCTGAGGAGAGTCTCAGGGCAGGGAGACTTTTCCTGGCTGTGTATCAAATGTTAGTAAGGAAGTGGATCACCACTGTGAGCATCTGGCTGATGACTGGGGATGTGCATGTAAAATGTCAAGCATTGGTGAACTTCTATGCACTTAATGTGGTATATAAGTGTTTATCTGGGCAAAGCTGATTTCTAGGAAACCCATAGATCGATGTGCTCTTTCTTGTACTGGAAGAATCATGCTTTAATGCTTGTGCTCCCTGTACTACTGGGGAAAGAAACCAAGAGCTGGAAACACATAGGGAGGCTTAGGGCTCTGGATGAAGGTTGCTGCTTGGCTTCTTTTGCTTTGAGCTTTGTGGTTGCTGTACAGGCAACATGTAGGCAGATCAATCAATCTTCACATGCTCAGCTGCTGGCTTTCCATGTGGGCTGGTTTTCAATGGAAGACAAGCTGTGGGCAGGCTACAGGGCCAAGCAAAGCTTCTGTTCTCATACTTTAAAAAAACTTCCACAAATCTTGTGGGAATAAGACAAAAGAGGGTCCATAACTTGGCATTCAGTGGAGGTAAGGTAAAACTTGCTCTTAGGCTACACTTGGCTCATCTGGCATAGGAACATGTAGGTACAGTGGAGCTGCAATGTGCACTGCCTGTTGCCCAGGCAGCAGCCAATCTGAGTTTGGCTCTATGGGAAAGAGCTTTGTAGGGTGGGTGGAAGCAGCTGGAGGGGATGGAGAACAGTCTGTTAAAAGCAAAGCTCATTGTCCCGGGAGCACTAGAGCTAATGAGCTTTGCATTTCAAAGGTGATAAGCCTTCTTTAGACCCTGCAAAACAGCGCCTGGGATTTGTCTTGTTAAATCTGTACATGGAGAAGGGGTGCCTATGGGGGTGGAGGAGAGAGGCAGAGGAGGCAGCATGCAGAAAGTAGAGGCCAGAGGCCCTTATTTGGGTGCAAGTACCAATCTGCTGTCTGCGTGAGTCTGCCTGAGTTGCATATGCTTTCCTCTTCTGTGTGCACAGAGAATTGTCATAAATAGAGGTTCAGGCAGTAAGGAGCATTTATTTTTATTTGCCTATTTTTGGCATTCAGTTGGCATCTCTAGATGAATGGTGGAACCAGGAGAAAAAGGTTGTTCTCCTTGTGAATACAGTTGTCTTGTGTGAGGCAGTCTTTCTCAAAGGCGGTTTGATGCTTGCTGGCCCCTTGGAAACTACCTTCACCTTGAAAGTATCATGCTGATGTAATGGTCTGCTTTTGGCAATCCTGCCAGCAACCCTGTGGAGTCTTTCAGTTGGAGCTGTGGATAGGCAGTTTTCCATTCTCTGTGACTGGAAGACCTTGGGTCCTAGTCTCTGTACTTCCAGCTGCCACCAAGTACCAGAGTGGAGGTGAAAGGACCTCCTTTTGACACTTCACTTCCCAGCACCCAGGCATAGACCACATAACCCAAAGTCTGTTTTGCTCTTCTGCGCAGCCTGGCCCATCCTGTCCCAGTGCTGGCAGGAGCTGCCCAACCTTTGGTCCAATGTCCCTTCTTCCTAGAGACAAACTACTTTCAGCCTTTTCTTTCCATAAGAAAGGATTTTGAAGTCTGCAGACTGTTCACTACTGCCTTATTTTTCCTTCCTTTTTTCTTTTTCCAATGTGTCAGTGTTAGTAGCCCTGCATTCAACACATGAACCCATGGGCAAATGTAAAGCATTATTCCCTTCCTGTCAAAGCCAGTGACTCCTGAAGTGAGGAGGCTAAAGTAAAGCCCCAAAGCATCAGGTGAAGATGACACTGTGCCCAGCTCAAAGCAGGATAAGAGCTGTTTCATGTTTCATTGGTCCACTGAAACTTAAAATTGGCATCAAAGACATCAAAGCAGGTGTGAGGATGCTTCCTCAAGATTTGCCAAGGACTCCTCTGTTTCTGTCTGGTGCTGGGAGGCAGGACAGGGAAGAGGTAGCAAGCACAATCTCTTTAATATTCTCTTCTCTTCTTCTGATCTCCCCCCTTGCCCTGCAGAAGCAACATGTCCTGTGTTTGTGCAGAGCTTGTCCTGAGCAATAGCAGCATCTGTCAGGGGTTACGGTGGCATTAGCTTCATGGAGTTGGGAGTTAGCAGTGCTTGGCACAGTGACAGTTCTGCTGTACCTTATATAAATCTGTACCTTGCATAAATCTGTCTCTGCCTACTCTGCTAAGGTGTGTGCTCACAATTTGTCTGATTCCTCCTGCTGTCCACAAGGCTTTCAGTTTCCTAGAAGATTTTATTTGCTTCTTGAGGCTCCTTTTTTCTAGTACCTTCCCACTCCGTACCTTTTCCTTCACAGTTTCCCCATGAGTTGTAAAGGGACCATACCTTGTTAAACAGGTGTTATTATAAACTCCCATCACCTGCCCCTCTGAGGTGCTGCAGAAAGCTTCCCAGAGAGGTTACTTGCATGTAGTACTTCATGGTACTTGGTGTACGTTGGTTGCCTCTCATTAGCTTCCTTGGATGCTACTAAACCTTGCTAAGAGCAGAAAGTAGCAGCAACTGCCCCGTTCTTGGCCTTCTTCCAGTGTGTAGGGAATTCTCGGGAAAAACAAGAAAACCTTTATTAAATAGAACACATCCCAAACCATGCTTGTGCTGTGTGCTTTCATACAAAGCACCTAGGAAAAAAAATTGACCTCTTGAAAGCATATCTGGTCACCATGGGGCTTGCCCTGAGCCACAGTCTTCATCCCAGCACTACTCAGGGACCTGATGGGATCCATGCTACAATAATGGCCTGTGGAAGGGCCACTCACCAATGCTTTCCAATGTCACTTTTCCACACCCTCCTCCCAATTGCTTTATGGTTGTAATAAAGAGCTGCTCAGGTGCACTGCCAGAAAGCAGTGTAATGTTGGTCTGCAGCGCCAATCTCTTAGTATGTATTACCCAATAAATGCAGTGGCTCCTAAGGAGTGTATGGTCTGTCAGGTAAACTCATTGCACCTCTTACAGACTGTCCCCTTACTTGCTGAGAAGGAGGTACTTGAAAGTAAGGGTATTATTGCTATTGTTATTATGGTTTGGAGTCTAGAGCGCATAAGCAGAGAACGTAGTACATCCTTCTACCACAGGTTATCAGTGGAGGAAAAAAGTCTCCCACATTGTGTTACAGCATCTGCCCTGGGCTCTTAAAATGGAAGTTTCTGTTTTGTCTCTGAGCCTGCCTTCTTTTGTAGGCAGAGCTGGAAGCTGTAATGCAAGTGGATAGTATGTATTAAGTCTATACAGTGGCTGTAAAAGCAAAATAATTACATGTGTATATGGTACAGGAGGGAGAGGAAACTATTCCATTCCCATAAATAGCCACTTAAAATGCAGATAATAAATAACTGTAATAAATAATCTGAGCTTTAGCACTTAGGAGGTGCTCTTCTCCCCATTGTCTGCAGAGATGCGTCAGAAATGGAGTTGGAAGGAAAGATTTCAGAGTTGTGGCAAGGTGCTGGAAAGCCCATGGGAGCAAGTAGGAGTCTCCTGCCCTCCCCTGCCTCTCCCGTGTGTTTTATTGCACTTTCCCTGCACCACCCCTCCCCGTTCAGTCTCATTTGCCTCTTGCGAGTAAGTGCAAGAACAACGCCCGGGGAATAAAGCCTCTGCCGGCAGAAATCACGCATCTCCCAGCCAGCTCATTGGGTGTTTAGTCCTTCGCCTTCCCACCAGCGCTCTGCCACCCTCCTCTGCCCATTCATACCTGCTCCGCGCAGACGAAACCAGCGGCTCTTGTGTGCAAAGTCTGAGTGCTGGTGTTCAGATGCAGCTCCGGCTGCTAAGCCCTGGCGATTAGCGGAGTGCCAGGCTGGGGCTTTCACTGAGGGGCTGTGTCGCTTTAAGGCATGTGATACTTTCCCGAGCAGGCATGTATTGAAATAGGCTCCGGTACTTACAGCGTCGTATAGCCGTGTGCGTACCGCTGCCTTACTCTGCACTGCCCGCGCTGGAGTGAGGCTGCTCTGTCCTTAAACATAAACTGCTCCTCGTCCTTAAGTATCCTGGAAGCTGCAAATTATCTCAAGATCACTTCAGAGGTCTCATCGAGCAGAAGGTGATGCTAGGAGATGATTTAAAGGTGAAAATGAGAAGGTTTCCACCCCTCAAACCTTGGCCACTTTTCTGACGGCAGAGTCTGAGAGCTCAGATGTCTCCTTTACTCTGGAAACAGGATTTGTAACGGAAAAAAATATCTTTTTTCTTTTTTTTCTTTTTTTTTTTAATCCTGATAAAGAAGATTATTGGGAAGCGATTAAAACCCCTTATTGTGATACAGATGGATTTAAACAAGTGTTAGATCATTCCGATGAACACTAATAGAGTGCTCTGCTCTTGGTTGGATTACTCAGGTAAGGAGCTTCTTTAGGATTTAAGATGCAGAAAGCAGATCTGGAACTCATCAGATAATAGGTGGAGGAATAGTCACTGCTATGTTTCTTTACTAGTGATAAGATGATCTGTGTAAAAGTGTATGTGATAGCAGTTCTCTGACAAGTGCATAGAGAAATGCTGGGTTTTAAGCAAAGGTAGCTTGAAATATGTAGTTTGAGAGATTTTTATTTAAAATAACAAAAAGAAGAGAGGGTGCTAATAATAAAGCCTGAGTGGGCTGAGTAACTCTGCTGTCCATGTGGCTGAGAATATGATGCTGGAGGAAAGACACAGGAGCATGTAGCAGACTGCAGAAGTTTGGCTTTGCTTTGCCATGTTTTAAAGTTCAGAATACCTGAAATGTCCCTATGTGAGAGTCGGCTTTCTCTTTTCCCTTGTATAAAAAGCATGAGAGCACCAAATAGGACAAGAAGGAATTAATTCCTGAAGACATGGGAAGCCTACTGGGAGCTCCCTGATCCGAGGGGATTGAATCTATTTTGCAAGATAAATAGGTCTAAAAGGAGAGGAGGAAAACTACACTGTATACTGCAAAGTAAACAGTTGGAAATGAAATTAATTATACGTTAAGCAGTGTTTCAAACACTCGGTACAGAGAAAGGAAGAGCCTCATGCTGATAGGAGAATGTTTTGGTATTTTCTATTAATTATTCTTGTCAGTTTATGTGGTTCTCTTCAAGCAATTAGACTAAAAAAAGCTTCCCAAAGACTATGTGTTGCTTTAAAATCGAGGCAAAAGACTATTTTATATGAGTATAGCTTATTACCACCATATTTCACTATTTAATATTGTTAATCTCCTTAATGCAGAAACCCCCCTGATATAGCACATACAGACCTCTTATTGTTTCAGTTTTTGTGTGAAGGCATGATTTTTCTCTGTGAGAGATTTAATCTTTCAAAGTCTTTCTTGCTCTGTGAAAATGATGTTCAGCTGATTGGATTACTAGATAGAAACCGGCATCCTGTCATTGGCTGAGTAAGGAGAGTGCCTGAAGTTTGATTAATTTGCCAATATGAAATGCAGCAGAACGTGTTGTTAAGGGAACTGGACGATGTGTAGCGTAGCTGAGCCTTGCAAAACTGTGGATCCTTGCAGGCACTGAGGAAAGAGCTGTTGAAGTTAAAAAGTAAAAGGGAAATTTAGACAGTTAGTACAATAATGAATACAGGTATGCATCCCACAGTTGTCTATGCTGGATGTCAAAGCATTCCAGCGCCTGGAGAAAAAGAAATTGCTCTTTCCTTTTGCTGTAGGAATACTGCTGAAATTTTGACATGATGTGCTTCATGAAAAGATCAGATTTTCTATACGATACATGTGCAATTCAGTCTGGCCATGCTCCAGTCCCTTTACATGCACAGGTCAAACAAAAGGAAGCTGATTTCATCTGGAGATGAGAACATAATTCTGAGAAACAATTACTTTGTTTAGCAGACAACGTAATGATTAAAAACTAATGTTTTTAAAAGTAAAAAACTTACCTTCTGGGTCATTATTTGCCTTCCATTCTTGGGGTGTTTCTGAAATGCATCTCAGGCGATGCTGTATGCATATCTGTAATGTGTTTAAAATAGTTTTTATACTGGCTGGGCATCATCTTTTTTTCAGCTTCCTGTGATTTTAGTTGTATTTTTATTTTTTAACTCCCTTATAAGTTCAGCTATGGAGCAGTGTGGGAATGTTCTCCAGCCTTCTGTTTGCATTGTTTTTTTGGCCTCAGATCATTACAGCTTTGGTTTTTTACCGCTGAATTAAAGTTATCCAGGCTCCTGTGTTGACATCTTGTTACCTCAGCCATTCTTTTTGGACATGCCCTTAGTTGCATGACAAGTGTATCCTGCAGGGGGAATAATAACTAAGACACAAAAGACATTTAAGCAAAAGGACTGAAAAAGAAAAACAACTAAAAAATACTGTTGTAATGGAAGCTGACTATTCTGTGTGCTGTAAGGCATTGGATAATAATGTCTGTCTAATATTTTGTTTAGAGAATGGCAGTGGTCTCTGCAATGTCCTGGGTCCTGTATTTGTGGATAAGTGCCTGTGCAATGCTGCTCTGTCAGGGGTCCCTCCATCACACTTTCCAGCAGCATCACCTGCACAGACCAGGTAGGACTGAGATCAGCTGTGGGATGCCGTAAGATTGCAGGCTCTCTGCCCGTGCTCATGTCTGTCTTGATATATGATTGAATAATCATAAAATCCTTTTCATTTTTTAACTTTTATGAGTTGCTTGCCTTTGTATTGCACAGCATCTCTTTCTGGTTGTCTAATGTGTTGTGCTTTGCCAGTATGATGTTGGAATATTCATCCTTTAACATCACCTTCTAATAATTTCCCGACACAGGAATCCCATTTTGGATAACCATTAAGTTTCTCTGTTTCTCTCTGTCCTTTCTTCTGTCTTTGCTTCTCCCTATTTTGTGCAGGTCTGGAATGATTTTATAAGTTGGAAAGACATTGTGACAGCACAGGCTGGATAACTTTGCAGTTACCTGGTCCAAGCTGGACACAGGTTTGTTACTTAAAATACTGGCACCAAACCTTGCTCATAGTCACTAGGGTTTACTGGAGGTCAGGCATTTACCTTGACATAAACAAGAAGCACAGTTACTCTGAGGTTCTCAAGCTTACCTATAAAAATTAATGGGCTTGCAGAAGTGTAGTCCAGAGGAGAATTTGGGACTGTCTTCCAATGGAGTAAATGCCTGTAAAGTCAGAATAAATCCCACAGGTTAACAGTGGAGATTGCAGCTCACTTTCTCTGTTACGATCCACAGGGACTGCACATTAAAGTTTTATTGTGTTTCTATTAATATAGATGGATTGTGTAACTTTTTCAACTGATAATTATGCTTTTGAAGAATATCTTGCTGTGTTAGAAATTGATGAGTCAGCATATTAAGGTTAAAATCAGATGGGCCAAGAATGTTAACAAATTTGGATTCAAATAGGGGACAAGTTTTAGGAGCTTTAGAAATGAAAGATGGAAAATGTTAACTTGCAGTGGTGAATCATTAAACAAAGTGGCAACTAACACTTCAATGGCTTTAGATCTAATGTACTTTCAAAGATGGACAGTCTTGAACTGCAAGTCTTTAGAACCCTTAATGACTCAAAGTTTTGCCAACTACTTTCATTGTCCAAAAGTCATAGGTATTAGCATTATCTTGCTTTCTTGTCATAAAATGTGTAGTATACAGGAATAGGGCTAAATCTTTGATAGACCGGCACTTGGTGGCTGTATTAAAGCATCACCTTAACTAATGATGTTACCTTTACTAGCTGGCCCTGGAAGTTTAAGCGGATTTAAAGTTTGAATGGTGAGGTTCTTATTTGGGACTTGCAGAGAAATGAGTGAAATATTTATTAGAATCCAATTGTAAGTAATGCTATAGTTATTTGAGTCTGTCCCTCAGTGAAGGAAATAAGAAAAGCCAGCCCAGCTAAACGGATAGGTAAAAGGAAAATGTAATCTTGTTTTGTACAATCAGTTGAAAGAAGTGACATTCTGAGAAAAAGTGAGAGCTGGGCAGATTCAGAGCTCTGCACATTTGCCTAAGCTTGAAAAATCACCTTTTTTATGAAGCAAGAACAGCAAGACACTGGATGCATACCAAGAGTTGGGGAAATGTGAAAAATGACAAAAATCTTTCACTCAGAGATGTGATACAGATAGAGTGAAGGTTTTACAGCTGCCTCATCACCTACCTAGAAACAGCCAAGCTTTCCCTCCTGCAAGCCTTTCTCAGGCAGCTTCTCCACACCCTATGTGAATAAGATTGATGGTGTTCTGATCCCAGGCAGCCAATTTCAGTCTCTCAAGAAATAATCCACTACGTTGACAGATGAGTGGAATTTGACATGATGTTCACCTCAGATTCAGCTTGTGCTGCTCCTGGGAAGTACTAGCTAGTGAGCATTCTTTAGGGAAACTATTAGAGATTTTGGACAATTTCTGCTGTCACAACAGAAAGTCAAGAGAGTGGGTTTATTTTATAAGGCCATGAATTTGCAGTCTGCCAACTGAGTGTGAAAGGTTGTACATAAAAAGGGATGGAAATATGTTAACTAGCAAACCGAGTGATTTTAATGTATTCAACTGCAGTCCCCGAGCACACCCTATTTTTCATATTTATAATATTAGGAATGCGTCATTTACTTTTAGTTAGTCACTGTGTAAGTAAGAGTAAAATGTTCAGCCAAATAAAAGTGAATGAAAAAAATGGATGCAGATGAGCCATTGCATAATTTCAGTAATTTAATATTTAGTATATGAAATTTCAACTTATTGAATCATGGCAAGTGTAACTGTAATCAATAGCATGCTCAGCATACCTTTTATTTCAGTATGTGATCTTCCATAGATAATGAGGTTCTCTAAAATAAGAGTATTTGAGCTGTTCAGCTCCATCATGGGGCTACTTTGGTACAAGATAACTAAAAAGGCAGGTTCCACCTTGTTTTGTGCTTCTCATGCTTTACAAATAGAGTCTCGCTGAGCACAGGAGGTGCAGGTAAAAGATAAAATCCCCATGGAGTGTATTTAGTGTAATAAACTTGAACTGAACTCGGTAGGTTAGCACAGTGCATATACCCATCTGTACTACTGTGGTTAATCCAGTTTTGAAACCGTGGACATCAAGGGCAATATATAAAGTGGTTAGGCTGTCATCAGAGATTTCTGAACTTGTTGCTTTTTTCTGAAACTTGCTTAACCAAGTGTCCGAATGGGTTGAAATGAATTCCTACTTTGTACAATCACAAAGCTTAAAGCTTTCTTTTAGTGTAATATAATTTTTCAGTTTTATAACAGAAAAATAATAATACTTCCTTATTCAATTAGATTACCTAGTGCAAGGTATGAGCCTGAAAATAAATGTGATAAATGTCTTTATGTATCAGTATTTGTAATTGACTGTAGCTTTATTTTCTGTGAAATGTTGGCAGGTGGGCACAGATAGTAAGGGTATAGTAAATATTGCTTGAATGTAAGATTGGTGATGCTGTATTATTTGTTCCTGTTAATTTATTCTTTCTTGTCATTAACAATTAATAGTTTGAATGCTGCTGTTGAGCGCCCTTAACTATTGGTGTCTGTTCCTTTTGTTTCTGACGGGTAAGGTGGGCAGGGTAGATCTTCAGGCTTCTCCTCTGGGATCTGGAAGAGACCTTTGGAATAAGCTAGCCAAACACCATTGCAGTATAATTCCCCTTGGGTAATACACATGGCTTCCTGAAGTTTTTTTGTGACTGTATTTCATTTTCATGAAAATTATCTTGGGCAAAGGATGTGTGAAAGCATTCACAAGAAAAAACTTTATGTGGAAACAAATCTCCATCTTTTTTTCAAGCGTGTCATTTCTCTGTAGTTTAATAAGAAATGGTGGTAATGAGAAGAAATTTGTGTTGACTGATTTAGGCAGGAAGGTACACACAGTTGTAGAACTGTTGAATTGGCCTGAGGGTCAGAATGGACAGGTTGTGATTTGTAGAGTTAGTTAAGTGCCTGTGATAGATAGTCCATTGATCATCTGACTGACGGGTTTGACCCTGCCCAGAGGTAGGAAGTAGATGCTGACATTTGGCTAAGATAATAAGATATTAACTAAGTAAAGAATTTAACAAATAAAAAATAATCACCAGCCTTTCAATCGTACAATATTTAGGAAATTTTCTGACATTGTTCCACGATGAGGGATGTTTTGCCTCTGGTGAGGACCATCAGCTAGTATTGACACACTGGGCAACGTGGGCCGTGTGCTGCTTAAAAATACAGGATTCACCTGTAAGTTTGTCCCACATAATTAGGTACACATTAAGGATGCAAGGTTAGTTTTGCATACAGTGTAAAGATGTGAGGCAGACACAAGCAGAAATATGTAGCTACTGTAGCAATACTGACATTTGCAGATATGTTAATTAAAAACAGGCTTGTTCCAAGGAAGAAGTCATGGACTGAATCAAGGCTGGAATCATATGTCTGCTAAACATGAAGTACCTTTTGTTGTGACAGTAGTTAATGATGTACCCATTAAAAATAATCTCAAGAAGTGATTCTGTATGCCTCATATAAGGAGGAAAATCAGTCTCAAAGCAATTCTATAAAACCTAACAAGCAGCATCAACCTGAAGATGCTCTGAGTATGTTTCTCAGTAGACAGCATTTTGCAGAAACTCAAGTCTGTGGCTGTGAGCAAAAAATGTCTTCGTTCTTATCTTGGCCTTCCCACTGATTTTTATAGCCTTGGGGGAAACTGCATGTTTTCACACTTCAAAAGGTCTGCTGTTTTCACATGCTCGATATATGTGGCTACTCAGTTCAGAACAGCCTGGGAAGAATGCTGGTCTGAAACTAATTCCTCAGGAAAGTGTAAATAAAATATGTCTTTACTTTGTAGAACAGTTGAGATTTTTGTAGATGAATTCAACAGTATTCTTGCTCTTGGTATTTATAGAAGCAAGTGTAGGACTAGGTAGTTAATATATAAATGTGTACGGTTTCCATGGTTAGCAAGTATTCCATTAATTGTACGGTGTGAAGGCAAACTGTTGCCTTCAGCACACAATGTCCAGACTGCCGTGCAACAGCTTAGCCAGTATCCATCAGATCATGTCAGAGAGATAAAAGATGGCTAGTGTTGTTTCTTCCTGTGTTAATTAAAATGAACAAATTGACAAGCTGCAAGGCCTGGTTCAGATTTCATTTACACCAGTAAATGCACGGGAAGTACAGTATATATCCTGGTTTGTTCGTGATCAGAAAAACCTAATTATGGTGAACTATTCCAGTCGCCCACTGGAAATCACCTCTCTTGTGAGACCTTTCTGTACTATACCTCTGGCCTTCAAAGTCTGTTCTTGAAAATGGGAAACTGCCAACTTCTAAGTAAAGAAATCCAGGTTGGAGGTACCTAATGTATTCCTGATCACAGTCAAAATATATTTGGATATATGTGGACAAACATTTATATGAATTTGTGTAGGCAGAGAACTGATATAATGAAACCCTCACTTAAGGGTGAGGTAGAATTACTAGCAGCATGATAGTGATGAACTGCCTACTGTGCTTATGTGATGCGCTTGTTTACAGTGTGTGTATATATACA